TCCTGCCACACCACTTGCTACCGCCCAACCTGTGTCATCTCCACCTGCCCCCGCCCCATGTGCTGCGCCTCCCCCTGCTGCTGAGCCCTCCCTGTAATCTTTGTTGCATTGTGGATGTCTTCGTTAGTCATATAAAGTGCCTCATAACCAGCCAGTGATTGGAGAAATTGACCCTTACCTGCGAAGGCCTCTTCTCATGTGGCATTCATTGTGGCAGACAGTTCTTCTGGGAAATGACGGACATAAATGCATTTGCTGACATAGTTGAACTCAGACCCAGTGCATTTATTTTTCACTGAACACTGTCTTCATTCTAAGTGTACATGAATTGGGATGATCTCTAATTTTGTATCCATGTCCTAATAAACAGTTATTTCCCTGATGTTGAAAACCTCTGATTTGTTAATGACTTGATTGTGTTTGTGTGCATGCATGTGTGTGTGTGTGTGTGTGTGTGTGTGTGTGTGTGTGTATTGTAAGTCTTCCACCTGTCACTTCACATCAAGGGCCATCTTTCTTCGAATGCAAAAGAGCATGTTTAAGGGTGTGGACTCTTGATTCCTGTTACCTGTTTGGAACTGAGACTCTGCTGGGCATTTTTCCGGCATGGGGCAAACTGTTTCACCTCTTCAGGCCTCATTTTCTCTGTCTGTGAACAGAGATAATATACAACGTCCTTCAAAGCTTTAAGAACATAATCCATGTAATATACTCATCACAGCGGCCATCCCATATGAATGCAATATAGGCTATAAATAAACTTGTATTGCTATTATTACTGAAACACTGCCCTGGGCTAGAATAAGATCTTCACAGAACAGCTAGAACATTTGCATAATTGTCTCACTACCTTTTACAACTCAAAATTAAGTTTTGGTACATGCCTCAAATGCCCCTTAAAAACTCCGGTGAACTGAACATCATGAAGTCATCTAAATTTCACCTGACTATATGTCTACTTCCAACATGTTCCATCATTGGTTGTGTAAGTATTGAGTGTGTCGCCTAGTTCTAGTGCTTTTCCCTTCTTCCTCCCTCCCTCTCTCCCTCCCTCCTTTCTTCCCTCTGTCTGTCTCTCCTTTTCTTTCTCCCTCTTTTCTTTCCTCCAATTGTTTCACCTAAGTCAGAACTTGACAGAAGCTCAACAAACCCAGCAAAACTCACACCATGGCAGACTCAGCTAACGCATTCTTTCCAATGCCAGTTTCAGAATTCAGCCAGGTGTAATTTACATTCTCCCAGAAAGAAACCCAATATGCATATACTCTTTTGCCTCACAAATACTTGAGGTCACTAGCATATAGCCACAATCCAGTTAAACAGGCTTGAACTTGATAACCATTAAAAGTAAGTTAATACATTGACGCTTGTGGTACTAGTACATGAAAAATCATTAGTGAAAGAAATAGAGCCAAATACATAAAGAAATTTAGTATATGAAAAGGTGACATTTTAAATCAGTAGGGGAAAGGTGTATTATTTATCAATGATGTTGAGCTATGGTCATGTCTGATTATAAAACATTTAAACCTCATATCTTATAGCTGTATAAATTCCTATTAGATCAAATATTTAAAAATATGAAACCTGAAACCTTGAGGCTAAAAGAAAATATGGGACAAAGTTTATGTAAATGTGTAATCGGAAAAGCCTTTCAAATTACACATACCTCAGAAGCTGTCAAAGAAAATAATTTATAAGTCGCACTGCATCAAAAGCAACATGAGTGTAAAAAAACTCTTTCCCATGTGATTTTTGCAGTGTTGCACTGTGTGTAGTGATGAAAATATGGACCAAGTACTGGGCTGGCTAGTATCAAATCGTGGCTCCCCTACTTACTGGGTTTATCTTCCCCGTGCCTCAGTTTCTTCATCTGGAAAGAGGTGACTAGAACGGATTATAATTACCACAGTGGAATTGTTGGGACTGGTCCATGAGCTAATATGTGTCAAGCACTGGAACAATAGCAAAGCATGCCAGTTGTCTTGTTGTGTGTGATTCCAGCATCCAGAAAAGTGCTCAGCACACAACATTCAGAGTCTGCAGAAGAAAAGAAAGAACTGGAATTCCACAACCCAGTGTGTTTTTATCTTGCTCAGGTTCCTGGGGAGAACAGAGTTAGTGCATAATTGTGCCAAATATCACATTCTCATCTTTTGATGTAAATGTTTCTTCCTTATCTCTTCATGGCTTCTTTTTAGGCTCTTCTTTTTTAGGCATAACTTATCCTCTATGATTTATTTATTCTTTAAATTTTAAAATCATTGCCTTTAAGGAGGCAGGGGCATAAATTATATACACTAAAATTTCTGCAATATGTAAACCAATAGTTCGATTAACATATCTTTTATAACTTTTAGGAAGAACCCATCTTATGCCTCTATTTTCAATTTGTTTCAAGTCTCTGTTGATTCTTTGAGAGATTTTATTTTTTAATAAATCTGTTTAAGTCATAACAAAGAGAATAATTTCTCTTCTTTAGACTCCTTGCCATCACATGATGCTGAATGTCATCTCCACCCAACCTTTAAACAGTGTCTCTCCCCTAAATCCAGGAGTGTTTTGACAAATCTAAAGGCAGACCAGAAATGTAAATGGCATAAAGGACATGTGCCACCTTACATTTTGCCTGAAGTCTTTCCACAGCTCCTCATCATTTCATCTGAGTCCCACATTCTATTCTGGTTGCTTCTCAAAACAGACCTTCCAACATATCTCTCTCACTGTGATAAGTCTGGGTGATGCCCCGTCTCCCTTCTGGGTTCCTTCTTTTGAATCGCCTTTCTTGCCACCCATTTAACTTGTATGTATTCTCAAAGGTCGGTGTGGGCACCTCGGAAGCCTTAACAAAGTCTTCAATCATTAAACAGAAATACCCTTTATCAAAACTCATTCTATTTCAGGATCCGGTATACAGAGAGGAGTAAGACATAGTCCCTGCACTAACTAACTAAGTCAGTATTCTAGAAGAAGCCAATAGACAGATGCACTTCTGATCATGAGATTATAGTCCACGCATATATAAGGCGCAACAGAAGTGCAATGGAGGAAGGACTTGGCTTTGTGTGGGGCCAAAGAAGATATTGGAGAAAAATTGTATTTAAACTCACCAGCAGAAGACAATCAAAAGAATGCTAAGCTCACAAGAGACCGCCCCTCTCCCCAGGCAGAGAGACTATCATGAAGGTCATTTGTTCTTTCCTTGAATATTTTTTTCCCTGAATGCCTGTGGTCCAAAGCAGACTCCTCTGTATGAGGACATGTAAAACAAGGACTGTCTCTCTCATATTCTCCTCAATGCTTCTAAAAGAAATATTTTACACATAAGTGATACCATTAAAACTGCTAGTTTTTTTAACTTAGAATATATTTTTAAAAATTTTTTTTTTTGAGTTGGAGTCTCACTCTGTCACCCAGACTGGAGTGCAGTGGCTGCTCCCGGCCACCGCAGCCTCGACCTGCTGGGCTCCGGCAATCCATTCGCCTCAGCCTTCCAAGCAGCCGGAACTACAGGCGTGCGCTACCACGCCCGGCTAATTTTTGATTTATTGTAGAGATGAAGTCTCGCCAAGTTGCCCAGGTGGGTCTCGAACCCGCGGGCTCAGGCAATCCACTCACTTCAGCCTCCCAAAGGCACGGGATTACAGGCTGATTAAAAATATAACTATTACATATTTTGATATTTCAAAAGGCAGATTAAAACTGTCATCCAAATAACTCTACCTCGGCCTAGGAGACATTTCTGAAGATTGACACAGGTCAATTCCAGATGACTCTTTGCTCCTAAAAACACTGAGTCACCACTATTTCAAGGTGCACCAGGGTGCTGAGAATTACACAGCTTGGAATGTCCTAGGAATTTTGTTATTTCTTTTTTTTTTTTTTGAGTTGGAGTCTCACTCTGTCACCCAGACTAGAGTGCAG